ACCGTTTTCAACGATGATACGTCTAAATAGACTATCAAAATCGAAAAAAATAAAAATAAAAATAAAAAGAACAAATTTCCGCAAAATGGTAGAAACCCGACGGATCCACCCTTCATCGTTTTGAGTCTATTCGATTGAAAAGCGTTGAACACGATTATTACCGAATAAGTCACCATCAATAACGTAGAGATTGCCATGTCGATCGAAGGACAAACCTATGGGAGCTTTTAACTGATGTACTCCTGCTCCTTCACCATTTCCACCCACAATGACAGTACCCTGTTTTGCTTCTTTAGGCCAACGCATCACTCGATTATTCCCCGAATCTACTACATAGATGGTACCTAATGTATCGACGAACAGTCCATTAGGATGCGACAATTGTGTCCGAGCCTCTCCTTCGCCTTGGCCCTCAGCGACGACAATTCCTTCTTTTGCACCTTTATTCGATTTCATTACACGATGATTGTTGTTGTCTGACACGTAGACAGTCTGTTGTTGATCGACAAAGATGTAGGTCGGAAAGTTGAGTTGATTGAGACCATCACCTTTCCCATTGCTACCAGCCAGGAGAGTTCCATTCTTGTCACCTATTTGATATCGTCTTACTTCATGTTTTTCGATGTCAGAGATGTAGAGATATCTCTGATCATCCATGACCAATCCCCAACACTTGATGTTGTCGATGATGATTTCTCCTTGAGTTGTGCCACTACGACGAGACCATCGTACGACTCGTCCATTCCCCCAATCACAAATAATGAGACTATCTGTCTCTTTGTCGATCAACACATCGGTTGGAGAACTCAATTGATTCAATCGATTTCCATAGCCATTGCCACCAGCTACTACTTGTCCATTCGTATCACCCATCTTCCATTGGATGATACGATGATTGTACGTGTCAGCGATGGCCATTGTTTGATCATCATCAAGGAAGAGACCATAAGGCCAGTAGAGTTGATTGGTGGCACTGCCTTCTCCATGACCTCCAGCAACGGTCGTGCCATTCTGTGCCCATCGAGCAGTGGCTGGAATATTAGGAATTACTAAAATGAACGAAAAAGAAAAGAGATCGTCATTGTCGAAGAGACCCTCTCTCTCTCACGCGGGGAAAAGAGCTATGAAGGAGACATGCGTCTTCTTTGAAGAGAATTTGGTAAAACTTTCGAGAATGTTCTTTCCTCAGATTAAAAGTCAGAAGGCTTTTTCTAGTTTCCTATGAGAAAAAAGGATTTCGTAACGATTCTAATATCGATGTCACTTTTAGTTCTTGCCAAGATCTTTTTGATCCTAATAACAACATCTGGAGAATGCTGTATGGAGATTTGTCCAAGAAAGAGTAATGCTAATTCCATTTAAGCTTTTGATAGAAAAACATAGAGATCTGAGGATTTTATTCGAAATTGCGAGAATGCAGAATCTTTTGTAGGATGATCACTTATATGAACATCAGACAAGAATTTAAGTAATGAAATAATGAACTATATGAAACTCCTAAGCTGAGAAAATTCTGAGAAAATTCTATTCGGATCTTGCTAGGAGGATGTTGAATCGTTGAACAACAAATGTCAAACCTAATGCCTATGTTTTTGGGGAAGCTTGAGGATTCAGTATGCATCTTTGAGGATGCTTTTCACGTGGTTTAACACAAATCCAGATCACATGATTTTCTGGATGATGAATGCAAACCTGTTGAAGGGTATCCTAAACATTGGAATGGCAGATGCAGATGAGATTTTATCAAGCTTTTGTCAAGTTATGTGAAGCTCCTCGAAGAACGATCCTGATAGAATCTTAGCTAGATCCTATTGAAGGTCTGATGCATACGAAACTGAGTGAATTTGAGAGAATTTCACGCAGATCTTTAGAAACTGATGCCCTCTACTTTTGAGATGCTGAGTAGATGAATGCTATTGCTATCAGAGTTCTTCATAGGAAAAAATAGGGATCTATGAGTTTCATGTGTAATTTGGAAAGAGTGGGTCTGAATGTAATAGCCAGATAGTGTTCTACAAAGCTATTATTAATTTTTCCTGAAAATTAGCTGCAAACCATGTATTAGGATCTTAAAGGAGAATCTTAATGACTAAATAATATACTCTGTCAAAATCTAAAATTCTAATAATTATGAGTATATTCTATCAGGATCATGCTATAATTCTTATGTATGATTTGTTCTGAGGAGCCTTCTTGAAGTTAACATGTCACGGGTATGGTCACGAGGATGTCAAGAATCAAGATTTAGGAATCGTTGATGGTAGTGATAGATAACGCCAACTCCGAAGTTGGCGCTTTTTCTCATTGGAGTTCGAGTGGAGTTCGAGTGGAATTTCGGAAAATAGGAGTTGAGTTGCCCATGTTTGGGTTTCATGCGAAGGCCTATAAAGAAATATCCCATAGGAGTGGGAGTTCAGAAAATAGGACTGGAATTGTGTGTGTAATTGTAGCGGGACATAGTGAAGTTGGCCATCTCCACTTGGCACACAAATGTCGATCTGGATCAGTGCCCAACGGGCATTGACTAGAATATTGGGAATCACTACAAGGAACAGAAAAGAAAAAGAAACGTCATCGTGGTTGTCGAAGAGATCCCCTCTTCCGTGAGAGTAAGAGCTACAAATATGACATTCGTCTTCGAGAATGTTCCTTCCACACATAAAAATTTCGAAATCTTTTCCTAGTTTCCTATGAAAAAAAGAATTTCATAACAATTCTTACATCTATGTCGCTTCTAGAGCTTGCCAACATCGTGTAGATTCTAAAATGTAGAATCCTCGCGGTAGATGAAAACTGTAACGAGAGATCGGTGTAAGGAAGCTTTCCGAGAATGAGCAGTGCTTATGGAATGCAAGCTTTCGGTAGGAAAAAAATAGGAATCTGAGAATTTGATTCGTAATTTTGAATTCAGAATCTTTTGCAGAATGATTATTTATATGAACACCAGACAAGAATTTAAGCAATAAAATAATGAACTATGTGAGACTCCTAAACTGAAAAAATCCTTAAAAGGTTCTATCTACATCTTGTTAGAAGGATGTCGAATCCTTGGACCAGGAATGTCAAACCTAATCCTTATGTTTTTGGGAATCTTAAGTATTCAATATGTTGATAGGATCTTAGCAAGATCATAAGAAGGTATGTATGCATGCAAATCTGAGTAAATTTGACAGGACTCCACGAGGATCTTTGGAATTCGACGCCTTCTACTTTTTGAAATACTCAGAAGACTAATGTTAATCTTATCAGCGCTCTCCATAGGAAAAGATAAGGACTTAGTTAGCTTTCTACAGGCACGAGTGTAACGGAAATTAAAAGATTGGATAGAATATATTGTTACTGCTGCAGCATTTCTTTTATTGTGATCACAATGACGAACTGGAAGAGTAGCGTTACCGCTATCCTCGGTGTATGTAAGATGTTACCCTAACTACTCCATTATCCAGTTGTGCTCATATCATACAGAACGCTGTATTATATAGAGAACACAAAGAGAAAAAAGAAAAGAGCGAGCATTGACAGAAACAAGGTGAAGGATGAGAAGATACATATGCAATATAGATCATAAGAACGTTTACATATAAAGGACATCGCAGAAGGACAATATCACATACGAGTGATATGATGTAAGTATGCTATCAGATAAGTGATGTCACATTAGAAGGTCGTGCCTATTGGCACAACGAGCTGAAGATATTCTTTTTGTGACTTGGAAAGCAGGGGCTCACTCAGAAAGATCAAAAGGATAACGGTAAGATATTGTCAGAGTTTCGATAAGATTTGATACAAAGCATCGTCTGGAAATGCTAGAAAGGTTTCTATGAATTCGAGACAAGAATCTTTGCTAAAAAACGAAGAATAGTGTCAGAAGTCAAAGCTGAAAAAATACTCAGGTGTTATTTGCACCTTATTAGAATGCTGATGCTAAATATTTGAGCTAATATAGGTGTGGGTGGATATGAGTGTTTCTATTCTTCATTGGCACCTACGCTCACGCACACCTTAGAAGAATTCAATGTTGTTACCTTTTTGTAACAAATGACTTATTAGTTTGATATTGATCTGTAAGAGCGTGTATCAAATTTAAAAAATTCAAAAGAATTTGAAATTCAACTATAATAAGTCATATTTTACAAGGTGGTAACAAGATTGATATAACTAAAAATTCATCTAAATTATATTTCAAGTAACGCATGCAGATCTATGAAATATGTTATTGTTCTCTCTACGGATGTATTCAATTAAAAAAAATGGCACGTTTACTAACATGTAAAGATATACAATAAAAATTATTCTACGTTTACGAGGTTCATTGAACTACAGGACGCTCTATATATGAAGATTGTTTCATAGATTTTTTGCTATTTTGAATATTTTTTTTCTATTGTGTCGAATACATAAAAGTTAAACAGACATACAAAATCTATATATTTGGAACGTCTGAACTATAATCAAAACTTCACTATACTCTTAACTGACATCATTATTAAGAAAATACATTATTAGAAAACATGCGAAAATCTTTTTATCGATTTTATTTTCTACTCATTTTTTTCTTACGATGAGAGGATCGTGTCTGGGTGTGGGTGTGGGTGTGAAGTGAAAACTCACCCACACGCCCACACCCACACCCACACCCATGCTTCACACTCCCCACACCCACACCCATGCTTCACACTCCCCACACCCACACCCACACCCACACCCATGCTTCACACTCCCCACACCCACACCCATGCTTCACACTCCCCACACCCACACCCACACCCACACCCGACAAAAAATACAGATTGGTCTGTTTTCGAACATTTGATTTATACATCCACACCCACACCCTCTGTGTACGCGTGACAGAATACGTGCACATAGACATTTGTACATGCGTGACTGAACACATGTTTACAATCATGCAAGCAAGCACGTATATAACGGAAAATAATAATTAATATAATGAGAGTGGGTCGTGGAATGATAAGGTGTAGTGCCAAACGTTCGGGTAGCATTAAAGCGTAATAATTCATTTATCAATAATAATAATAATGCAAATACACATTACTCTTGTTTAAGCTAACACGGCATCTGTGTACCTATCGCTCGAGTGGACTGTATTCCGTCTTCTAGTCGACTCGATTGCGTCTAGGCAACTTTCTATTCTACGAGCAATTCACTCGTACACTCTCACACACAGAACAGGAGTGACTCTCACTCTAACTGCCTGTCTTACGGACTCACTCACTCAATGGCTACTCCTATATATCTTTTGCACAGCTATATATATACCATCCCAAGAGTGTGTAATGTCAAGG